GAGAGGTGAAGGAGGAGTTTTAATGGCCTGAGGAGGACTTTATATTCTCCAGCTTAGTGTTGCCAAAAATATTCATTTATGGATATACATTCATTCTGAATATTTGAAATGGTTTCAATACACTTTTTCCTAATATCAATACCAGCTGCCAAGAAAAGAAAAGTCATCATGTTACAGTCTTGATATGTTTATCTTTTAATGAAAGTGATAAAAATCGTGACAATTTTCCTCATGGCATTGAAGATGGTATTGAATATTGATATTTTTCAAGGTATTGAAGTTAGAAATTCAAATATCGTGACAGCACTACTACAGTTACACACAAACTGCACATGTTGAGTTTTCTGACCCTGATTCTGATCATTTATAGAGTCAAAACTCTTAAACTCAGACTGTTTTAAGCCTTAAACATATTAAAATAAAGGGAATTTGTGTTTCTCCACATGATTAAATCCTTGGCATTGTAGAGAAGATGTTGAACCTGAATTCAGATAATCTAGTATGGAGATAAAATGTGTGGAAAATATACCTTTAAACAGTTAAATTAATACAGAAAAATATTTTAAAAAATGAAAGACAATATTTTAAAAAAATGGAAAAATACTTCAGTATTTCTAAAATCCTGGCTACAGCACTGGAATTTTGTTTTACATTTTATTTTATTTTACATTTACGTCATTAAAGAAGCCAAGGTTTCCAAAGATGTTTTTTTAAAGATTATTTTTATGGGCTTTTTGCCTTTATTGACAGGACAGAGAGTGAAATGGGGAGACAGAGAGAGAGAGTGGGGACTGATATGCAGCAAAGGGCCGTGAGCCGGATTCGAGCCTGTGGCCGCTGCAGCAAGGTGATGCCTCTGTACATGGGGCGCCGGCACTATCCACTACGCTACCGACGCCCCGGGTTTCCAAAGATGTTAAATGGTCTGGCAGAACTACAGTAAAAAAGTACATAAAATAATGGACTAAAACATGAAATTTCTTGACATAGGTGTAGAATTTGGAGCTGAATTTTGAAGGGACACATGCAAGGTAGCAGAGGACTAAACTCTAAACCCATCGTTTCATATGTGCCCTCTTAATGAAAAACTAAACATACGCCCTGGGCTGTTAATGTAATGCGGCCTTTAAAGTTATATCTCTATTTTACATATTTCTATTATAAGTAGCTGGTATAGAATACTGTGTGTGATTTAAATGTTACAACATGGAAAAATTTACCAAATTTTGGGGAATTTTAAGGTTTTCATTAAGAGCTTTAAGTCTTAAAGTATGACAATGGAAAGAGAAGTGGAAAACAGAAAGGAGGGATAACAGAGGATAGATGGAGAAAAAGACATTCAAACAAAGACAAAACACATCAGTGGGAGCGTCTTTAATCGTTTGTTGGGACTGAGCAGTCAGAGCGATCAGCGGCTGATACGCGTTCATCATGTTTCATAGAAACGCTGTGAGAGTCCATTATGGCCGACTGCTGCAGAGGATGTGAGGTTAAGTGGTGCCAGTGGACACACGGAGAGGAAGGAGGGAGGCCGACACGCTGACAGCTGGTACGACTGATTAGTACCATGTAGTGATGCAGGGAAGGCATCAAAGCTCTTTAGGGAGAATCCCTAACAGGGAGGAGGCAAGGACACACACACACACACACACACACACACACACACAAACACACACACGGAATCCTGATACACAACATCCTAGTTGCTCCTTTAAACTGAGCACACAGGTTCGACAGTGTATAGGCTGCACAGGCCATCTGTCATTCTCAGATGCATCATCAACCAATGGATTAGCAGTAGGTGCCTCAGGACACACACACACACACACACACACACACACACACACACACACACACACACACACACACACTGGGATACTGGTAATACAGGAGATTGAGTGGTGTCATTAGATTAGATTGGGTGTGGAAGTCAATGGAGCTCCTCAATAATCTCTCACACTAATGGCTGTTTAATTGCTATTGTCTCCGCTGCTCTTTTGTGTTGTATGTTATCTCCCTCTTAAATTAAAGGTGTTTTGAACAACCTGATGGTGAATGTCATTTTATTCAGCATTTAGAAGAGTACAGAGAACATGTGAAGAGCTTCAGAAGGGTGATGAAAGACTGTTGTCACCTCCTCTGGACAAAGCACTAGGTTCAAGCACTGATGATTTACTGGTGGACTGATTGATTTACTCTGACTGCAGTGAGACTAGAGTGAGGGAATAAGATGTCTGGGGTAAGTTAAGAAAATAATATGCTTCAATTATCAGATAGAGGAAGGATGAGGCGGAGTAGATACACCAGTGTTGCCCTCCTGCAGCATTAGTGACCGACCTTTGGTCTGCTGCCCTAAAGAAACACAGTGTACAGTTCAATAAGGCTCTTCAGCTAGGCCATGCCCTGGTGAACACACACCCACACACACACACACACACACACACACACACACACACAGGGAGACTCTGGATTACAGTAATCCAGGGACAGGGGGGATATTTATAGGACTTCATGATCAGAGGCAGACAGGATGCAACTATCGAGGAAAACAGATAATGATCGTCATATGACCGGCTGGATTTATTTGGAACAGAGTTAATTACGTAGCGTCTAGCAGGCAAAACTAATTCAGACAGCTAATTCAGCAGTAAAGCTACTGTAAGTATCAGAGGATCTGAAAATAAAACTTCAGCCCCAGCGCTAACTGTAAGAAAATAAAAGGGAATCTGATATTTTTAGTTAATTTGTAACTGCATTAAAACAAATCCTGTTGTGTAGTGGCCTTTAAATATAACCATGACTGTTTGTGCCTGAAACAAAACATGATATTTATCATACAAATGAAACTAATAATTGTAACTCACAGTTATAGCAGAGACAGAGGACACCACACATGACAAAATGAGGCAGGAAGAGACAAACTATACAGATATAGTTTTTTAATTATAGGGGATTGACACAGCAGTGATGTGATGATCACTATCAATATCTATGACTAAGGCTGGGTATCAGCCAATAGAGTACTTCATTTGATACATTTCTTTTCAACTATATTTGATACCCATCACATGAATGGAAGTATTAAGTTGCATAAAATGCCACCACCACACTCGGCTTCACCACACACAGACTGTAGCTGAGGTAATGAGCCAAAAAGGATCAAATGCACACATTTGACTTGAGAGGTTTTGATGATACTTGGTACGGATTATTGTGCTTGGTATCTTCAAGGTTTTAAGTACCCATACTAAGGGGACAGGGAAGTAGAATTACAGGGCAGAGGACACACTGCAGCCTTTGATCTTGTGAAGACAATAATCATGTTTTGGTTTTTATGGTGGTTTAAATGATTCATTTATTTGTACAAATCCTTGTCAGTATCACTCAGACATACAGTAATAGTGCTGTTACTCCCTCTAGTGGGGAAACAGTCACACATGAGGCTCTGCAGCTGAGTGCTTTACCATTTGTGTTTCTGTTTGTTATGAACAATTTGTAGTTTAATAGAAATCTATAGGGCAGGGCTGGGCAATATGTTGATACTGACTATGATACGAGACTAGATATGGACTTGGATTTGACAATCTTAATATTGTATGTGTTGTCTTTACTGGTTTTTAAGGCTGCATTACAGTAAAGTGATGTATTATGTTGTATGTTGGTTGTTATATATTCGTCCTTTACGACAGACTCTATTTTATTATTTACTTTTTCATCTTTTTACTGTTTTTTATCGCTGTTTATAATTCTTGATAGACATTGCTGCTAATTATTTCTTTTTAGGGACTTTTGACATCACTTTGGGATTACATTATATACTTGTATACTTGTATATACCCGTCTATCCCATTGAATGTGAACTCAGAGCATTGCTGTAAAAGAGCTTTATGCTCAGTCAATTTTCCCTGAATAAACAATGGTTTGATTGATTGAATATTCTGAGTTTACCAGACTGTTCTGGCTATTCTGTTATTTGCATTTATGTACTTAGTCATTATATCAAGTGTTGGGGAAACTACATTAAAACCACCTAGTTTACTGAAGTACTACCTATGTCAAAATAAAAAGTAGTTAAAGTAACCTACATCTTAACTGCTCCAAAAAATTAGCTTGTCAAAGTAAAACTAGTTCCAACAAGTGGTTCAACAACATCCAAACTACAAAACTATGAATATTCATAATCTGAGTCTGGAGTATTGTTACAGGGAAGTACAACTGAAGTGACACTGAGTAAAGTGAAGGTGTATTTGATTTAGGGACTACGACAGGTCAATCCTCACCAAGGCAGCCTGAGAAAGTGTTTTAAGGAGATGATAGGGAGCAGTTGTTGGGGTGGAGTCAGAAAAATGCTAAACTTTTAGGGAAATTCATGGTATTCAATAACAGACATTTTAGTTGCAAAACAGATGATTGTCATCATTCATCATCAAGTTGATGCATGTATTTCATCCAGTAGTCCTGATTGTACAATTATGTTATTCAAATCTTGGTCTTCCTGTACTACATGGTTGTCTACTGTGTGTCTTGTTAATATATGATAGTTGTATCTGTCATGCAGCTATGTCACACTATGTGCCCAAAACAAATTTTCCTTTTGGGAAAATAAAGTTTAACTTATCTTATCTTAGTGACTGAACTACATGTAATTAACTCAACACTGATTATATCCACATTACTGAGGATTATTCATCAAAAATCCCATTGTGTAAATATTTTGTGAGAGTACCAATAGTCAAATCTATGATATCATTGCAATATTGATATCAAGGCATTTGTTCAAAAATATTGTGATATTTGATTTTCCCAATATTGCCCAGCCCTACTACAGGGATACACCTGTATGTATAGAGTTGTGTGGTTGTATAGATTATGAGCACTGATGTGACTGCAAACAAAATAAAATGCTGTTCATGCTTTTCATGTTTTTCTACAGGTGAGAGACACATTTAAACTGCCTTCCTATTTTTATGAGACAAAGATGCAGAGGAAAATTTCAAGAGTGAGCAAATCTGTTCTTTTTATTATAATATCTTAAGATTGATTGACTGGCACGTACAGCTGTTCAAAATTTAAATAGATTGTTGATACACTGTCTGAGGCTTCATTTAAGGTTAATATAAAGATCGGGTGAATGTGGTGATGTTAAATATGAATCAGAATGATAGGCCATCATGAGGCATAAAACAAGTTCATATGTATAAATACATTTCAGCAGATATTCAGTTTCAGCTTACAGTCCACATGTGTTTGGTTAGATATGTGTTATTGATCGCTGCTCCAGTTAATAAATACTGTTGTTGTTATTATGTCAAGCAGAAGAATAAATAATCAGCATTTTGTGTTTTAGGTCTTTTAGTTTCAGATAACACAGTGATTACATTCTGGATAGTGTGAACAATTATAACCAGGAACAGTGAAACAGATAAAACAGAAACATAAACAGAAAAATCAGAGAATAAATGTAGAAGATTAAAGTCCTCCGTCTCTCCATAGTACTGAGCCTGGTGAGATTGAGACTGTAGAGGGAGCCGGTGCTCTGTCTACAAGACTGTGACATATGAAGAGCTTGTTTCTCAGCTTTGTGTCCAGAGGGTTAATACCTATAAATAAAAGATTTCAGTTAAATACAAAAATCATATGTGTGTTGATTTGGTGTAAAAAAGCTGTATGTCTCCTCACCTGTAGTAGCTGGGTTTGAAGGGTCCATGCTTGCTGATGCCCAGGTACTTGGCCTGGTCTTCATTCAGCTCTGTGAGGTGAGCGTCAAACGACTGCAGGTGAAGACTGGCCACATATTCATCTGGTATTATAGGAATAGAGGGTTTAACATGTCTGAATATGGAAAACAAGAAAGGACATAAATGTTTTACGACATTTAAAATGAGGACTTGCCCATCTTCTTTGGCAGCAGGTAGACGTCCTGTTTGTATCGACCTTCTGGAGCGCTGTACAGCTCGATGAGAGCCAGAGCCTGACGGTGACAGTTTACACAGCTACAGGTGAGAACATGGAGTACACATACCTCCTCTTTAATACATTTAGAGATGAACCACTAAATCTCTGAAGTAAATAACATAACAGATAATATCATACCTGAGTTGTAGCGGTGATGGAGAGGACAAATGACGGCACTGTGGAGCAGCTCAGATTCAGCAGACGACCCTGAGAGAAAATTAAAAAACTGAAGTGACGTACTGTGATGTGACAGCAGCCACTGGTGATGATCTAAAGACTCCTGGAAAGTTCATTATCTCAAATAATTATGTCAAATAATAATGTCTCTCCTGCTCCACACCTGATACAATTATACTTTAACAGCATACTTATACTGCATACTTTAACAGTGATCACGTAAATCTGTGCCTCGGCAGCATTAAGCCCTTCATTTGTCATCATGAGTAGAGCTGTATTACCACACTGGAAACCACTGCTATAGTACACTTTGGAAAACTCACTTCTGATGTGACAAAAACAGCATCCTGAGGCCTTGTTGTCTCTAGACAGGTGTGCGCTTATGTCTTATTACAGTTAGATTCTTAACTCAACCTTAACCTCACTCACTCAGTCACAGCTATCAGTGACTCTAATAAGCGTAACTATCTTCAGCTTTACACCCAAACCTGTGCTGTGGAAGAAGTATTCAGATCCTTTACTTCTCTACACATATGTGTTTGTATAGCCTATTACACATTCAGACAAATTCATATACTGTAAAACTTCAATTAATAGCCCGAGCTATTATTTGTTTAATCACTGAACTCAACAGGCCTATATTAGGGACAGGCGTCTATATAGGACAGGCATTTAATTCCCTTTACACAAAACTGTTGCTCAGCAAAGATGGGGAATACAATCAAATTGTTTATTTGAACCAGTATGAATAAATCAGGCTTCGAATAACATATCAGTTATGTGTTATATTATGGCAGCTGTTTCATGGCACTTGCGGTTACGGCACCCAGCATACCGACACAACACCATTATATCCTGTTAAAACAATACTCACTCACTTGAATTTATTTTTATGAAAATCACTTTTGATTCTTTTGATTGGTGGACCCTCACAGACTAAAGGAATATGAATAACTTACAGGGTAATCAAGGAATGGACACATATTCTGACTTTATGACAGCCTCAGAAAAAGGGAATCACTACTTGTTTTTTCGTCATGCAGGTAAATCTGAATGACTGACGGTCTTTTCTGGTGCTCATGGTTTCAGTAAAACGAGATCAACTGAGCTAACAATGTGTAGCATCTCCATACTGACAAAAGTTTAAACATTTATATCTGTTTGTTTGATCTAAACAGCTAACTAATGTTAGCTCCAGTGGGTATAGCCAACAAGCCGGTTGAAAATGAAAAAAAATGAACTGCTTAGCAACCAGACCAGGCCTCTAATTGAGACAGGCCTTTATTTGTCAAAATGTGTAGCCACACCGGGCTAGTAAAAGGGGCTAGGCTTTAACTGAAGTTTTATGGTATGTGATATGTGTAGATAATCATATATGACATATAGGGCACAAAATGTAATACACATACATAAACATACATATTTGTATGGGTTAGGGATACATGTCAAAATATTTAATTGTTCTAATTTCTAATAGGTTTTATATGTAGTTTGTACATATATATTTACCTCATGTATATATATATATATATTTAACATATGTACATTTCTGTATAAGATAGAAGTGGCTCCATCAGTACGCCTTGACATTATCTATAGGGGAAGCTTGATGATATGTGAGAGAAGTAAAGGGATGATTAAAAAAAGCTCCCCCAGGTACAATATATCATATTAAGTGCAAGCATTCAAAACAGCTGCTGTTACTTTTAATTGAAATAATTAAAATCAATATTTCATGTCAAGGGATTCATTCAGTAGCTGTGTAATAAACAGGATAATTTACAGAGGAGTCCCTTCAGGCTGGTTAAGACCCAAGTTCATTGACACTGTGGGGAAATAGTTTACATATAGTAGGTTTCCCTATAGGGGTGTCGCATTATTCAGGTAAATGTAATATATCTTTCATATATTTAATAATACACATATGATAATATCACGTAAATAACCCAGCACCTCTTAAATCATGTCTGTTTCTTTCCATTCTCACTTTGTCTGCTTCCCCTGCTGTCATGTGTTTGTCTTTTCACTCTACATGAAGTGTAATTGCTCATTTATTTACACTTAAAACAGTTATGGTTACAGACTCTTTCTCCACCTCCCTACACATGTATATTGAGTGTCATTCATTTGCCAAAAAAGAGAGAAAACACACCATAAACAAGGTTAAGATGAATTTGACTGATAGGATTTTCTTTTTTTTTCACTTTTTCTCTAGTTATCACCATGAACTCTTTTGGCATTAATTGTATAGTGAAAATCTGATATCGGCCAGCCCAACTCTGTACGTTGTATAGTACTGGTATAGTAGTACAGTACTGGTGTATAGTAATGATAATAATAACAGTATGATCACCTCAGCCAGCAGGACGATTCTCTTGCCATCAGGCCAGATAACATGGTCCACCTGAGGCCTCACACGCTCCCACCTCATCTCTGCAGTCCGCAGACTCGTCTGTTTTACACACATAAAAGCATATGTGTATACAGGTTTACACACATTAAAACATACATAAACACACACACACACACGCACACACACACACACACACAGTTCATACCAAATCTATCTCAGTGCTGGAGTGTCCCATGTTGCAGACGATGCAGCCGTTCTTGGTTCTCTCCAGGTGTTCCCTCCCCACCACGTTTTTATTGCCTGCAGGGAAACAGAGATGGAGCAAACTGGAGCTGTACAGATACTGTTAGTAAGAGATGGTGTTTCCTGGTGGAGGAGAGCAGTTACCTGTGCAGGTGATGACCATGTCTACCTGTCTGACCACTTCACTCAGTTTAATCACTCTGAAGCCATCCATGCTGGGGTGAGCAGAGGGAAAGCATGTTTAAAATATTTAGCCACAATTTGCCATGGAAAGAGTGAAACACACTTCATATATGTGCCACTGATAAAAGCTTCCTCCATTCATACCAGGCCTGAAGGGCACAAATGGGATCCACTTCTGTGACGTAGACGACAGCACCTAAAGCTTTCAGGGCAGCACAGCAACCTTTGCCAACCTACAGGAACAAAAGAAAAGAGGACGGTGGATCTGCTTTAATGTACGTCACGTGTGCACAGCAGCACTGGGAACACTTTTTTTTACTGACCTCCCCATATCCACACACCGCCACCTGTTTTCCTCCAAACATGACGTCAGTGGTTCTCTTCAACCTGTCAGAGGAGTTCAACACTGTCAGGCTGTTGCTCTTTACTCTACCAGCAGTTTTACCTGTCTACAGCATGGCTCATTACCCGTCCAGTATTGACTCCTTGCAGCAGTAAAGGTTGTCAAACTTCTGCTTGGTCACTGAGTCATTAACGTTCATGGCCGGCACACTCAGTTTTCCTGCCTTTGACAGCTGGTACAGCCTGAAACACAGGTGGAGATGCACGTGTGACGTGGAGAAGGACTTCATTGTGGAAACCATCCAAGTTTAGCATGAAACTAACCGGAAGATGCCTGTGACGCTCTCCTCCACGATGCCTTTGATTCTCTTGAACAAGCTCGGGTACTTCTTATAGATCCAGTGGGTCAGGTCGCCTCCGTCATCCAGAATCTGTGAAAAGATAAACTCTCCATCAGCGCAACCTTTCTCACTGTGGTAGTTAAAAACAGATATTAAAGGCACAGTTCACACAAACAAAGTCAAGTTTTATTCAAAGCCCCTCTCCAGACACGTTTTAAAAATACTTATTTAATACTAATATTTTGTTAAAGATGGTTTTGCCACATGATAGTTTCAAAACCCCTCTGAAAACACACTGGGAGCAGATCTACTCTTTCTCCTTCGTTGCGAAATTTGCTTGTGGTAGGCGAAGTTTAACTTTCACGTAACGCTTTCTCCAGTGCTGCTCACGATAGGTTGACTGGTGAAAGAGCAGTGCACACCAGGGTTTCAGGTTTCTCTGTTGAGGCAAAGTCTTACTTTATCTGTAGAGAATGTCAACAAATCAGTTCTTTGTCTAAGACGCACTAATGAAGCAGACTGTGTACTCACAAAATAAACACAATTATAGCAAAACACTTCAACACAACACCAAGATAAGATTTAAAACTGAGAAATCTGTGATTGCATCTCTGTGGCTTATTTGCAGTAATAGTTTTAGTACAAAGTTTTCTTGAGAGCATGTTGATTTTATTTTAATTGTCAAGCACCACTAACCAAATGCCACCAAACTTCATTTCACTGGGGTGAACACACTTTTACATGTTCAAACTTTGGTCAATCAGTCTTAAAATTAATCTTAAGTACTGTCCGTTGTCACAGTACCATGTTGGGCTGCCAGGATTCAGAACAGACACATCGGTCGATACACCACCAGAAGTCGTCCTCTGACTCTCCTCTCCATGCAAACACAGAGGTGCCTGAGATAAAGAGCAGGTGATATAGTCAAGAGAAACCCAGATGAGTCAGGTTGGAGGAAACATGGGGGAGCAGGTGGCATAGACAGTTGTACCTCCTTCAGCCAGAGCAGCAGCCACAGCGTTCTGAGTGGAGAAGATGTTACAGGCCGCCCAGCGACACTTAGCCCCCAACGCAGACAGAGTCTCAATCAACACCTGCAAGAAACCAGAAAAATACAGAGTCAACAAAACGTGTCAACCTTCTGTCAGCCTTTTTTTGATATCATAATAATGTACTTATTTCTCATACAGATAAGAGAAGAGTAATCCAAAGTAATCAGCCACAACCAGCTTGCAATGTGGCATTCAGTAAAACTCTATCAGTGTTTTTTTTTATTTCTGTATTGTGAGTGTGTTGAACTGACCGCTGTCTGTGCAGTGATGTGTGTGCAGCCTGCCACTTTGGCTCCAGCCAGAGGTTTCTCCCCAGCTGCTCGTTTCCTCAGGGCCATCAGTGCGGGCATTTCTAAATATCACAGACAGTCACATTCAAATTGAGCATTGACGCATCTGTGCTGCTACTTATTGTTTTCAGATGAGCTTGTTGTTGATTTGTTTACTTTGGTGTACCTTGCCCTTGGTTTGTTGGGGAAGTCTTTGCAAATTTTGAAACTATTCCAGATCCTTGATGTTTGTGACATCTTGTTAGTGTAACATATAGATTATACAGCAGCAATATGTGTAACAGAGTAGAACATATATTAGCAATGTGTAATATTATACAAAATCTGTGTAAATAGTTATAACCTGAGAAGGCACAAATTGATGCATGCAAATTAACAAATTGCAGGAATTTTTTTGCAGCGCATAATTTCCTAGCAGAGGAAGCCAAACCTGCCCATTTGATATGTGCCCCCCCATGCTGAAATAAAACCTGTGCCCTTGATGATATGTATTTTGTCATCATGACTCATAGAGGCAAGGACAGCGGTCTGATAGCTTTTTGTCTTTACCTTGCTGTGCGATTTCTATTTCTCTGCGTCCAAATTCAGCCTTTTTGATGTTTTTGATGCAGAAGTCAGAGAAGCCTTTGGAGGTCCTCTGAGACTTGTCTCTGGGAGAGTACTCATCCTCGGAGCTGTCACTGCACACTGCAACATAGAAATGAGACATTGTGTTTAAAAACAATCGACTGATATGATATAATGTCCAAAAGCAATCACAGTTGAGATATAATGGAGTAAAACAGAGGCACAGGAGATGTTTGAAAGCGTGAAATTTAAGAATTGGCTCTGATTTCCAGCCTTAATTGTTGTGTGTTTGGAGTCACACTCGAGCTAGGTGAGTCTTTTCTCTGAGCCTTTGAAGTCTGCATAAACTCTGGCAGTGATTGACGCATTTGAGAAAAGTTCACAGAACCGATTAGGACCAAATTAAAGAGACTTTATTCTTCAGAGGACTTTTCCTTTTAATTAAGGTTTAGCTGAAGGAGAAAGCACCGAGGCTAATCCTTGGGGCCTGTAGTTCTCGTGCTGCTGGGATCAGAACCAGCTCAGTTTCTATATAAGACATGTGATCAGACTTAAGAGCATACGTGTGTCGTGTTTCCATGTTTCCGTACCTGAACTGAAGCTATCAGTAGATGACTGTGAGATGGAATGAGACAGAGAGCGACGACCAGTGTTGGCAGGACGCTTGTTGAATTCTTGCTTTTGTTCATTGAACTGTATTTGCTGTGGAGCCAAACACAAACAGGAAAAACAAACAGAATAAACAAAGTATATCAGTTGTTACTTCACAAGCACAAAGTCTCATCAGCTTCATGCTTGAAACAGACAGACCTGATGTAGTCATGATAGCCTAAATTTTACATAAGCACCCCCCTTCACAGCAGACCTTCCTCTAAAGTAGCACCTCTCTGCTCACATCACAAACCTCCTTCCCTCCTCCTGACTCATCTCTGTATCTGCTGCTGTCTCACCATCCACTGTGGCTGTCTGAAGGCTGGGCTGCTGCCACTGGAGTCCCACTTGGCCATGTCCGCTCCCTGGCTGCTCGCCTGACTGCTGCCTGAGCTTCAAGTCCAGCTCCAAAAAATCACAGACACACCCCCTCACTGACCCCACCTCCAAAAAATAAACATATGCATTGAGTGTTTGGAGGTTTAGAGCTGAAGGCTTGAAGCTATACTGTATTATACTCATACACGCTGCTGGATCAAACCTTTATTTAAATGTGTATTTAAAGAGGCACTCCAACAATTACACACATACAGGTCAGTCTACTCACAGGGAGCACTACACAGGTGGTGGAAAGAGTTGTATCAAGCCTACTGTGGCTCTGGAGGACTAGAGAAAATGACCCTGATGATGACATGATGATGTCATCAGGGTTATCCTGGTTTGGGCTTGCAGAAATTTCTAACACAAAGCTTTGCTACAAACTGGATGAGGAGTTGGTGAAGAAGATGTGGACATATACCAGTTAGGTCTAAGGATGCAATCAAACTAGGTAGGGACAAAAGGTCAGGATGTCAGGTTTGGATGCCCTCTTCTTTTTTTTTTTTTTCAATGCCTCCCGGCTTTATAAAAGTGCAGTACAAAATCAGTGGAGCACTCAGCTTTGAAGTAGTCATTAGGATGAAAGTGAGGTGAAGAAGATGAAGTCAAGGCTGTATGTGACATGATAACAAGGTGACCTTGCTCCAGTATAAACAAGATGTGAATGCAAGTCATTCAGTGGACGTTTATCACACAACTCAAACTAACTGTCATCTGACATTTTCAGGTATTTCAGAAATAATTCCTATAGCAATTTGGCTCTGCAAATGCTTTGAATTGTACATTTAGATGCCAAATTTTAGCAGCTATACCCAAAGTAAGAAAAAAAATGATAGTAATGAATTTAATAGTGCTGGACCTAGCATATTTGGCGCCCTAGTACAAGCCTGGAGTGTCCAAATTTTTCTTAATGGGGGCCAGATCAGATAATGTGAAACTACTTGGGGGCCAGCACCTTCTTGCATCATATACATTAAAAAGACAAATGCAACTGTTTAATCTTTCACTTAAAAAACAGTCAACTTATCATCACTCCTGAAAGTGATGTCCCTTGCCATCAACTTTACACCTTTTGGCTATGGCCATGTCTACTACCTAGCAAGAAATGTCGGCCATAAGTAACTGTTTGTTAGCTTGTTTATCGTGTGTTTATGAAAACACATTAGTTCCGCCTGTGCAGTTTCTACTCGCTGCAGGCCTATAAACTGTATACCTGTCCTGCCATCATGAGCTGAACGTTAACAAAATGCTAAATGAACTTGCTGGGTTAACCAGTACTGTGTGGCGGGCCACATATGGTATATATTGAAAGACAAACCATGGGCCGTTTGGAAATGGTCCAAGGGCCATGTGCATGGTCCAAGGACAAATGGGTTTTTCTTGTCCAGAAACACTCATTTTCTTGCCATGTAACCAACTGAAAACTATGTATTTACTATTGTTTGGCCCTTAACTCCATCTATTTTTCTTTATATGGACCAAAGTCAAAAAAAGTTTGGCCACCTCTGCTCTAGCATGTTCAGACTGTGATGATCATTCACTGATGAACTCGGTGAACTGCATTGCCAGGAACAGAGGTGGCACCCTTCTACAGACTGAGCATTAGATCTGTGGATCATTTTTACCTTAGGCTTGATTTTCCAAAATCAAAATAATGTAAAAATGTGTGTGTGTGTGTGTGTGTGTGTGTGGGGAGGAGGGGGGGTTGTCTGCCTATGTTGCCTATAGGAAGATCTGCCACTGGAATTTAGGCCATGTTTCCATGTGGTTATCATAAAAGTCTCCATATTGAACTGACAAGTCCTGTGCTCATAACTAATGACAGTCATTACATCTCCTATCGCTCAGGATTAAGAGCGGCATCTTTCATGTGATACTGCTGATCAAACTCTGTCCTCAAACTCTCGTTAGGACCAATTCAACCTGAACTGCTCATGAACATTTTAATGAAGATCTCCATTGGAATTTTTGTTAGCACTCTGCTTTCATCTGACTTAGGTTAGATCAGTCACTGTCGAAAACATGTTTACTGTACCTCCACTTTATCATACAGCTTGTTTTTTTAAAAAAACATATTTTACATAAATTAATCTTATTTTGTTTTCTTCATTATCCTGCTGATTGAAAACATGCTCCACTTTGATTGACTTTGCTGATGTGCTTCATTGAATATGAAAATAAGGAATCATGCATTTAAGACAAATCAACAGATAAAAAAAAATGTTCACTCACTTCGTCCACCATTCTCCATGTTAAACTGACTGACTGGTCTAAAATATAACTCTTTTGCTGTTCTGCATTATAATCAATTGAAAACAATCTCTTCATTGCAGCCTGCACTTACTCAAGCAGCTGCTTAATCTTTAACAAAGACAGACATTAAGCTGTGACTCGAGGCGGTGTGAAAGTTAACTTAATGATCACAAAACCATCTCTTACGTGGCTCAGATAACGTATGCCAGCTACTATTGAAAGTAAAATGAGAGCCAAAAAAGCTAACAATTAAAGTGGCTGTGGGTCCTTAATGTGTAAGATATGTCTCATTGGGAAACCATTTGTGCAGTGATTTGTAACCAAAGTCTAAATTTAAAATATCAACCAATAAAACCCAAGAAAATTCACAGCTGTGGTTAAAAATCAGTATAAATGGTCATTTTAAAGTTTACTTAATGGTTACTAATTCAACATGAAGACCTGACTCGCTGTCCTCTGAAAGAAAACTAAAAAAAATAAAGAGTATAACAGCACTGCTAAAACAAAAGCAGTAATACCTTGATGCAGATGGACTGCACTGCCTCCTCGTCCTTGGCTTTAGTCATGCTCACTAAACTGTACACTTTCTTCATGCTGACAGAGCAGTTCTCACACTGACCACAGTCACTCTGCAGAGCTGATTACAAAGTTCACAGAGCGACGCTTTATGCCACACCTTCACCCCCAACAGGCCCAGGTGACAGGCGGAGAGAAAGACAGAGAGAAGACCTGAATGGAGTCTTTGTGAAGCTTACAGAGGGGAACTCTGGGAAAATGTAGGAGGACAGGTTAGAGGTGAAGAGCAGGAACAAAGTTGTAAGGAGACAGAAGCCTGTTTAAAGTGTTACTGGAGGCCACAGATGCATGTATGTACAGTAAAGTGCACTCTGCTCTCAGGGGATACATTAAATAGACAGCAGAGAGACGTACATACATCAACATACATTCATGACAGAGTTTATTAGTGAGAGGGAGAAAGAAGAGAGCAGCTGTGGCGATAGAGGAGGCAGCAAAGTGAACAAACATGAGCCTTATATGTAGTTGCATTCAGGGACACAAAAGACAGCTTAGGTTTCTTTAAGTAAACGAACAATAGAGCTGGACTTTACTGTACAGTTCACTGTTTCCTCTGCAGCTCTGCAGCATCACTAAAAGTCTCCTAAAGGAGCATTCAGCTGATTTTACACATGCTTACATGTCATGGGAAGTATAACACAGCATGTAGACACAGTTGTATAAAATCGTCTGTGGCTCTATAGGGGACTTTTCTAAAGTCAGAGAAAAGAAAAAACTGGATGATGTCATAATGGTGTCATCAGGTTTATCTATGGTTGGTTGTGCAATGTTAAATTTGTTACAGAAAATCTGTGCTGTGGAGTTTTAATTATGTGGACATTAAATGAAGGATGGGACACGGTGTAATGCTGCATCATATAACTGAGGTACAACCAAACGACAACCTCCGGGACTAAAAAATGAAGCTGACACAGAAGTGCCAAAAACTGCAGTTCCTTAAATGGCCACTTGAGGCTGGCTCTGGAGGCAGGTCAATCGCTATAGACACCCATATTAAAATGCAAAACTTTAAAGCGGAAATAATCACAGCAAAAAAACGGTTTTGGTCTCTATAGATGATTTCAACATTCATGACATCTGTACTGGGTGTGTATTTTCGTACAACTCTCCCGTTCACATTTTATTAAGGCTTAAGTTATGCATATTTAAGGGTGGGGACATTTGATTGACAGGTTGTCAAAGTGTCACTACAGTCTGAGTCAGATCCACCCCTCACTTCTCCACAGCTTCACCCTCTCATCCAAATTTGCTCACTTCTGGCTCCAAAACAACCCAAGATGGCAACCACCAAAATGCTGAACTTCAGACATCAAAACAGGAGTGCACAAACCAATGGGTTTGAGGAACTGCATTTTTTGGCACTGCTGCATCAGCAGAATTTGCACGGCTCCCTCAGCGACCACAGAAGACTTCATGCAAGATTTTTTTTCCCCACTAATGCAGCAGTACACCCAAAGACCTATGAACATGCTTTGATGCATAAAATCGGCACACTTCCCCTTTAAGTCTGCTCTGTCATTTCAAAGAGACAAAATAAGTGAAATATGTGTGAGTGCTGGTCAAACATTCATAGAGGCCTGCACATTGCAACTAAAATCATTAACAGCCTGAGTATATGCAGATTCACGCTTCCCTCGATACACTTACAGATGCACATACCATACATCATGTCTTGGTCTAGACAGGCCTGACAAACAGACCAGTCAAAATCAGGGACAGCTTCCTTGCTCACCATGTCAGTCTTCAGAGCCTCAGACACCAGCCCTCCTGTCCCAGACTCCTCTGCCTCGTCTTTGTCCTGACCCTGAGGTGTCTTCCTGCTCTCTGCTGCCTTTAGCATCTGCAGAAGCTTCGGGCTGCATATTACTAGCTGTTTGGTGCTTCCCTCCTCCGCCTCTCCATCCACCACAGCTTCGCCCTCCATGTGTGGATCAGGATATTCATCAGGTAGCGGCAGTTCCTCCCAGGAGGCTCTCGTCTGGTCTCTTTCCTCTGCCATGACTCGTCTGGCAGCCAGTAATGAAGTGAATTAGATTTCTGCTCAGGTGATCTGACAGCAGACCAGGTGACGGCTCAGCCATACCCTGCCCACATACATCTGATATTTCCTCCTGCAAGGCGTCTGTTTACTCTAAACAGCAGCAGCTCTTGGGTTACTTTGACTAAATGTAAAGTAGATTATGAGTCCTGGATGCAGTGTGTAGCCTACAGGGTAAACACTGATGTGAGCACTGCTTTTGACACAGAGGGAAATGTAACCTGTAACTCACTTATCCCAAAGAGCCATGTAGTAGATGTCAACATATGCACTTCCAGCTTATGTTAAAAAGAAGTACTTGTACTCAAGACCTCAGGTACTTGCAGGGCTGCTCCTTGTTTTTATGTTGTCTTTGATAACATTGGCTCAAATCGCAACGTGAACAAAGACATGCGTGCAATGCAAACAGAGCATTACAAAATAAACAAGCCAGCAGGACTTATGTGTTTACATTAAACCCCACCAGCATCAACAGTGGCCCCGTGGTGCCAGACCACCTCCCTTAATGTGTCTACTGCCTGGCTTAAAGATGTGAAGCATACTAATGTCCCAGTGTCTCAAATAAACTGGAATAGTTTTCAGATTAAATTCATCACAGAAAGGTTTTAGGTTTGATATGATTTAGTTGATGGTCCCTCCACTGTGCCCCCAAAATGTTAATTGTCCTGGTATTAGTCAATGCACAGCAGATGATTAATAACATAAATGTAAAATAAGAAACCAAAGAATGTAAGTATGCAATTGACATAGTCTTTAACTGTCTTACATACTTCAACAGCATAAGCAACCAACAAGGGCTTCATATTGGTATCAATCATCTCATCTACGTTTGGCAAGAAAGCAAATAAGTGCATTTCCCAAACTGTCATGTTGCCCTTTCCCTGGATATTCCCAGAACAATTAACGACTTTTGAACCAAGTTGCAGCCGATGAAAAATGAAGCAAACATGGATGTTCGAAAAACTGCAGTTTCTCTAATGGCCACTTGAGGCTGGCTCCAGAAGCCAGTCAATCCCTATAGATCCTTTTACTATTAGTAAACTAGTCTGGGGCCGTTTAGTGGCCGTTTTGGTAAGGAACCGGAACCAGGGCGAGAGAGACAGGATCCGGAATTAGATGGATGCGCCTTTCTGCCAAAATAAAAGCACCAAGCTAATAAAAATGCAGTGAAACTTTTTAATTTAAAAAATATAATTTACAAGAAGGGCGGCACAGTGATGTGGTGGTTAGCACTGTCGCCTCACAGCAAGAGGGTTCCCGGTTTGATCCCGAGTGTGGGAGCCCTTCTGTGCGGAGTTTGTATGTTCTCCCTGTGTCAGCATGGGTTCTCTCCGGGCACTCCGGCTTCTTCCCACAGTCCAAAGACATGCAGATTGGGGATTAGGTAGGTTAGATAGGTTAGATAGGTTAGATAGGTTAACTGATAACTCTAAATTGTCCATAGGTGTGAATGTGAGCATGAGTAGTTGTCTGTCTCTATGTGTCAGCCCTGCAATAGTCTGGCGACCTGTCCAGGGTGTACCCTGCCTCTCGCCCAGTGTTAGCTGGGATAGGCTCCAGCCCCCCTGTGACCCTCAAGAGGAGAATGAATGAATGAATTTACAAGAAAAGCCCCAAGCCATTAATTTAACCTTTGTCTTTTATTGTAAATCGATGGTGCGCCAGAATTTAAAGTTTTACTTTGGTGAACACTTATACTTTGGTGAATTTGGTGAATTCTGGGTTCCACTCTCTAGACTGGAAACAGAATCCAGACAAAATTCAGAGTGAAAGGAAACCAGGCTCTTCACCGTACGTGAAGAGCCTGGTGACGCGAGGCTATTAGTAAACAGTATGACGGTTTGGTGGGCGAGGCTTAGTTGGAAGCAAAACAATTCTCCACAGACATTAGCTAGCACTAGCTTAAAGTTCTCTTGGCTTGTTTTAGACAATGGAGGAAGATGGTGGAGTAGAACAATCTGGCGCAAACTGGACCGTTCGAAAATTCATTCTGAATGTGCCGTTCAGATATCCAGAGCACTGATCTCTTGGAGTGGCAGAGCGTACTACAGGCACTCTGTCTGTGGAGACGGAGCAGCAGAGCACTGAGCGAAGTGAATGTGTGATTAACTACTGTGATTAATTACTTGTTAATATGTGTAGATATATAACACTCCATTTCTTCAATCAACAGGTGTCTAATTTTAGTGTAGAGCGTCAGACTGAATTTACGAACACACCACATCAGGTCACTCTTCCTTTTTTTGCACGCTTATAGTTAGGTTTTTATGTGTATTTTTATTTGTTTTAGGAATTAGTGATATTATCTTATATGATATCTTATGTTTGTCATGTGTGATGTATCTTAAGCACACTGAGTGTATGCTTCATGTTTGAAATGTGCGATATAAATAAAACTGATTTGACTCATTCTCCAGGACCATGTGTGTTACTTAAGTAAGTAAAAACAGACCAATGTGGCCAGACTGGCTGACCCGTAGGCTCTCACTCAGTGGATGATTTGAGAGGATTGCCGATGCGAATGAGCTAAAAAGTTAGCGTTAGGGAGCAATCCAATATTCCACTTAATACCTCCCCAGTTTCTGATTAGGTGGACGTGATAACACTTAATACACATGAAGCTCAGCTTAAGTTCAATCAGGAAGACCTTTCTCATACTCACCCTTTCATATTTTCTCCATCCCACTCTCACTACTCCCTCTAATCAGCTGATTATGGGTGTTCACTCCTCTAGTTATGCAATCACACTTTTCCATGATCTCTCAGCCAATCAGGATGCCACTGCAAAATTTTAAATCTGCTCTCTCTTCTGCTGCTGTCAGCCATCATTTCAGGCAGAATCTTCGCACCCTCCTCCACCCCAGTCACCTCCAGCCATCGTATCCAGAGTCCAGGACAAGCTCTCAAAGACTCATTCCTCTACTCATTCAGATCATTGGCACTTCTCCATCTTCCTCTCATCTCATCTTCACCGCTTCTACCACCACCAGCGTCTAGACCCCGGGGGGGTTCCCTATTCAACTGTGGATTCATCACCCTCCTTAAATCAAACCATCTCTACGGGGTCTAATCACCAAAGACTTTCAAACATTCTTATTCATTCATTCACATGTTAATAAATATTCTTTTACCATAAAAAAACCTCTCTCCTGATTGAAATAACGTTATTCATCCCTACAACAGGAAATCCTTTCCCCTAACCTGACATGAAGTGTGCTCTGCACATGAGAACATTTTTGACGATCGCTTTTGTCCAGTCCTTTGTCTTATCGCATGTAACCATAGTTGCCTTTGTTTTTGTTGACTGTCAGTGGTGGCTGACATGTAATAAAATTTGAGTTTTGAGTCATGACTCCTTCTATTCTGGCTCCCATTAATAACACAAGAAGAAAACATTTTAGACTCCTATGTAGCCCTGTGGTGGCGAGTCGTGTTTTGCCTCCAGCTAACAAACTGATGTCATTGTGACGTTGACCCTAAAAGGGTCTATAGACCCCTATGTTAACATGCCCAATTTACAGCGCATATAAACATGTTTATATGCCTGGTACAAAAGACAGTTTGGGTCTCTATAGCTGATTTCAACATCTCACGCTGCCTTACTCTGCCTCTGACTGGCTGACCCTGACATTCTTAACATCCTAACCTGAACCAGTCCCACTCATCTTGCCTAAACCTAACCAATCCAACCAGTAAAGGCAACGAGTACTAACCAGTTATTGGGAGAGTAGGGCGGGTCATTCCTTCACCATCCTTGGCTTTGCAAATTTGCCAACTGTGCAGGGGTTTATTTTAATATGACTCACCTGTTTACATTTTATTAAGGCTTAAAGTTACACATGATGAAGTGTGTGGTCACTCTGAGTGACAGGCTGTCTGTGAGGCTTCACTACAGTCTATGACTCAAAACCACTCTTTCATCCAAATGTGGTCATTTCTGGCTCCAAAATTCAAGATGGCCAAAATACCAAACCTGAGGCTTCAAAACGGGACTCCACAAACCTACTGTCATGGTAACTATGTTGATTATTTTATACAGTCTACATTTTGAACATAAAACATAGTCTAACTGTTGCAACAGCTTGCTGCACTCTGTTGTAATTCTACATACCCACCAAAACATTTTTGTACTTTGAATGAAAGCTATCTCTGTTTCATGTGAAGCAACAGCATTTAGCAGAGGTGGTCTGACAAAGCTCCACCTCATCAGGTGACTCACCTGAGACAAATCAAGATACAGTTCCTTATTCTTCCTCACGAACAGACTAAAAAACATACAGCCATATTCATCTTCAGACCAAACTAACAACTTTGAGTGAGTTAAGCTACAGGAGAGAAAAGTGGAAACCTACAACCTGCTGACACTCCACACACTGAATGTAAGTTTGATTAAAACACCACTTGAAAGTAAATTTTAGTGAGGGTAGAGGAGGGAGGGTGAGCCATGACTGACTCTGCTTCCTGTTTGCTGTATTTTCAGCTTCACTCAGAGACGATATGGCTTCCAGGACAGAGGAGAATCTCTGCTGTTCGGTCTGCCGTGATATCTTTAGGGATCCTGTTGTTCTGACATGTAGCCACAGCTTCTGTAAAGACTGTCTGAGGGGCAGCTGGAGAGAGAAACCAACACATGAGTGTCCACTTTGTAAGAGAAGATCTTCAAGGGATGAACCTCCTTCAAATCTAGTGTTAAAGAACCTGTGTGAGGAGTTCTTACAGGAGAGAGATCGGAGAGCTTCAGAGCCTCTCTGCAGTCTGCACTCTGAGAAACTCAAACTCTTCTGTCTGGACCATCAGGAACCAGTGTGTCACATCTGCAGGGATTCAGAAAAACACACTAACCACAGATTCAGACCCATAGATGAGGCTGCACGACAGCACAAGAGGCAACTTCAGGACACTCTGGAGCCCTTAAAGAAGAAGTTAAAGGTTTTTGAACAAGTTAAAGTAAAGTTTGATCAAACAGCAGATCACATTAAGGTCCAGGCCCGACACACAGAGGGACAGATTAAGGAGCAGTTTAAGAAGCTTCACCAGTTTCTAGAAGAGGAAGAGGAGGCCAGGATGGCTGCACTGAGGGAGGAAAAGGAGCAGAACTGTCAGTTGATCAAGGAAAAGTTGGAGGCTCTGTGCAGAGAGATAGCTGCTCTTGCAGAAACAGTCAGAGCTGCAGAGGAGGAGCTGAGAGCTGAAGATGTCTCATTCCTACAGAACTACAAGGCTGCAGTGGAACGAGTCCAGCAGCACCCCCTGCCAGATGATCCAGAGCTGCACTCAGGAGCTCTGATAAATGAGGCCAAGCACCTGGACAACCTGACCTTCAACATCTGGAGCAAGATGAAGGAGATGGTCTCTTACACTCCTGTGATTCTGGACTCAAACACTGCACATCCAGAGTTCATCCTGTCTGAAGATCTGACCAGTGCGAGACTAGGAGAGAAGCGGCAGCTTCCTGATAATCCAGAGAGGATTGCTGAGTACTCCTCTGTCCTGGGCTCTGAGGGCTTTAACTCAGGGACTCACAGCTGGGAAGTCAAAGTTGGAGACGTTACATTCTGGTCACTAGGCCTGTTTGCAGAGTCTGCCAAGAGGAAGGGAGAAATATGGTCTGGACTATGGAGAATAATGTTCTACAAAGGTATATACACGGCACGCTCACTACCAGATCCACCCACTGTTCTCAAGCTGCAGAAGAAGCTCCAGCGGATCAGTGTGAATCTGGACTGGGACAGAGGGAAGCTGTCATTCTCTGATCCTGATACAAACACACACATACACACCTTCACACACACTTTCACTGAGAGGATGTTTCCATTTATTAACAGTGTGGATGAAGTGAAGATATTACCACAGAGGGTCTGTGTGATGGTGGGACAGAGAAGTTAGAGATAAAGAGGATGATCATATTTATGAGCTTAATTTCTTTTAAAGGGAAAAGTCGATGAATTTAACCTGTTAATCTGCACCTGTCCTCCTGCTGTCTCATTTTTCTAAAGATATGTTTGTTTTTGTTTCATTTATTTTTATTTTAATTTGTTGTTAGTTTGACAGTTTGCTTTTTGTTTCCACTGATGACCTTTTTATTTGTAAAATTATTCCACTTTGTTTGAGATCTTTTGGTTTCTGTAGCATTTCTTTTCTTTATCAGTGCCGTTTCATTTGAAATTGTTCATTTTTGATTATTTTGACTTGTCTGTGTTGAGCTACAAAGACCAACAACCACTTTGTAGAGGCTGATGGGATCCAACTAAGGAAAAAAAAACAATCAGTTTATCAATAATTTATCAAAAGGCAGCATGGTGGTGCAGTGGTTACACCCCCCCCCCCCCCCCCCCCCCCCCCCCCGTGGATGGACATAATCAGGGAAATCTTTCTAATGGAAAAGATGGCTTTTTCTCTGAGGTGTAGAGGAGCAATATTCTTCAGCAAATGGGAGAAGTGGACTGTATTCTTTTCCAAAGCAATGGACGCAGCCTCACGATGAATATCTGGATAATGAAAGAACACTTAGCATGTGGACTTATGAACACTCAACCCCTGTGGCCCCACACAGTGTTTATGTTGTTATGTTCTGTCTAAACATTTAAAAATACTTTAGATAAAGAGTTATGAAAAATATATTCCAAACATTACAATCAAAGTTTAATAAAATGAAATGTTTACGTTTTATACAATGAATATATATGAAGTTATCCAAAATATATGTACAGTTTTGTATTTGATGAAGAGAAGATGATCTTGTCTGTGAAAGTGTTTCATTCAGTTTCCATCTCTTGAATCTGCTGTTTTGTTTTGTTTTGGTTTTTTTTTTTTTTAAAAAAAAAACACTTTATTGTGATAGTGTGAAAAGGGCAAGATGAGGGTGAGCTGCAGCCAAGGGCCCTGGGACAGACTTGGACCTAGGCCATCGCCGTGAGAATGGTACGCAATCTGCCTGGTGAGTGAGTGAGGCACCTCTGCTGTCATTTAGTCAGACAACTTTTAAGGCAGTCATCTTTGCTTTCAGGTGGATGTCTCAGTTTTGGTTTAGACTTCATGTAATGTCGCTGATTTCAAATCAATAGTTAACATTCATGCTGAATGTACATTAATTCATGTTTTTCATCAAAATAATAAAACACTGGTTTTCTTGGTTGTCACATTCTGCTTCTCAGTTTAATGCCTAAAGGCCGACTACCTCTTTTTAAGTTACGCCAGTGGCAATATACACTGTGGTTAAAAAATCAGCCTACAGTTAATCCCACAGCTCCATGCCATCTTGTTATTGACTTCTCCTTTTTTGTTTTGTTTTGATGCTGACTTGGACTCAGTGGCTTCCCCAGTTGGGGAGGGGCCATGCCACTTTGATTCAAATGCTGGCTCCTCCCCCTGGCGAAAATAAGTGGAGGTTGTGCTGCATCATTTTGAGCTAGACAACCTAAGGCATCCATTGGTACCAGGAATGTCGGCATAGCTTGTTGGGAAGGGTGCTAAATCAAGCTTAAAATTTAGGCTCAATTTTGGCCAAGTAATAACTGGCATGGGTGTTTACAAAGGGGGTCCTTTGCACTCTCACCTCAAGATATCTAATGAAAATGGGTTCGATTTGTATCTGTGGGTCTCCCTGAAACTAGAGAAGGTTTGCTCCCACTACTACTTCAAATTAAAGTTGCATATTTGTCTTTTTAAGGAAGAGGACAACCAGCCTATTTTACGAACAATGAGTCACCTTACATGAACACATTAAAACAGGATTGTTGTGAAACTGAAAATGTTAACTGTACCAGTATTAGTCTATGCACATCAGACAACAAGTAATGTTATCTCTAGAATAAGAGACTAAAGTATATCACTATGTGATTCCTTAAAGTTCATAGTGATATATTTTAGATAGCCTACAATGTTCAACAGTATTCCTGAAATTCAGTCATGGATTTTGGTTTTGGTGTGTCACCCAAAGGTTTTTAGAGGTGCCATCTGGCCACACCTATGAAACATTTCAGGGGCGACACTGGTCTTAAAACAACTGTCAGGTTCCTGTTTGAACATTGCAACATGAATAAAGAATTTCTTCTTTGTGTTTTCCTATTGAGCTGCAGTGGAAAGAAAAATATTTTACCTTTGGATGACACCACCTCGAGTTTTCTAACTCAGTTTGCTGAAGCTTCATATTAGCTTCAGATAAACCTTTGAATAATTTGTTGCACAGAACAAAGATTGTGGTTTTTGCCACTGAAATTGCATCAGGAAGGGATCTCTTGAGCACCAGTGAAACTAGTTTTAGTTTAGTTACGTTTGGTGAAATGGATCAGGAGGTTAAAGGTTGGTGAGAGACATTCAGCAGATAGATTTGTTGTTTTACAGTCATTAAGGAATCATTACATGTTGTGTTGTGGTTGTCTACCTACTCAACAGTTGTGCAGTTTGCAGTAATAAGAAGTGATCACACACACATCATATTTTTTAAAAGTTTTTTTCACAGGGTTACATATACATCCCAAATGTTTAACAAATGTGGACATAGTTAAAGTTTTCAGGTTTCTACTGGTGAGTCTTCAGCTGCAGGAGCCTCATGTTGTTCCACTAGAGGGTGTAACAGTTTCACTGCTGTTCCCAGGAGTTTTCCCACAGCTGAGACAGAGACACCTTCTGTCGTTTCTTTCCTCGGTGTGAAGACTGTGGGAGGATTTCAGTTTGATTCCCTCTGTTGTGTCTCTGCGTCTGACAGGAACCAGGAGAAGTGTCTGACTCCAGAGGGAGGAGCAGCAGGAGGGGGAGTTACTACTGTATCCACTCCTCTCGCTCTCCAAATCTTTCTCTGGTCCTCACTTTTGTTCAGCACAGGAATTTCAGACTCTGGTGTTAAATTAGCAGAGGTATAAAGTGTCCCTGTTAGTGGCCAGTGTGACGTGTTCACTATGGGACCCCTTAAAGTATTAATTATGTGTTGTGGTTAGTTTGTTGAAAACTAAATCTATGCTCACTTTCCTATGTTGCATCTTTATTCTTGTTTAGGTTCAAAGTTACCAAAGAGACAAAAGTAGCAGACAAAGTGGTAGTAGACAAAAGTAGAGTCAGTCAAAATGGAGGAAAATAGCAATTAGCTAAACTTTGTGTACTACACTTGGTGTCATCCTTGTTGATTAACTGTCACCTTGAAAATCTGCCTGTGTTCAAAGAGAAACTGTCATTGTTTTAAAAACAGTGCCATTTGCTCTATATGCCCTTATAAAAGACAAACCCATTTCCATCATGTTTATTTTTCTCTATAAAACAGGCAATAACATCTATAACTAAATTACATGCTTATTCTATACCTGTAAATCAACTAGGCTATTAAAAATTGTTAGATTAAATTAAATTGATAATTTCTTATTTTCTTTGGTATTTTTTGTCATATACAGATATGCAATGATGATTCATGGGTAATATGTGTGTTGATTTTATCAAATGTCAAGTCTCTGATTATGTAACATAATGATATGTACATGGTAGTGTGCACTAGTGCCAATAATAACTACCTTATACCACTGCATTACATGTTAACTCAGTGTAGACCTGTGACTCTCATGGTCTGCAAAGTGGAATTACTTTTTTTGGCAAAGGAGTCTGGTAGCTTTGAGAGAACGGCTTTAGTTCCCCATCAAAAAAGCCTGTCCTAACTTCTGTACGCTACTGAACCTCCCTGTACGCCTGCAGTCCTTACATACTGTAGGTGCTGTGCTGTTTTAGACTGTTGGCTGTGCTCAGTCATGCATTTATAAGCCATCTTCAGTTCAGCTGTGTTAGATTAAGATTTTGCACTGTAACTGAACTGCAGCTCCGTTTTTCAGACGTACTGCTCTGCTCTCAGGGTTTCCCCTGTTTCCTCCAGTGTGCACAACTGCACTATGGTGCTTTTTTTGTTGTGGTGTGTATAATTCCTCCTGTCAGGCAGCAGTCCAGCAAGGATTGGGCAAAAGCTGTGATGCCCAGCGAAAGCCTAATGTGATGGTGGAGCCAATAAATCAGGCTCTGTTTTACTTTACTCTTCTAACCCATTTAATTTCTGAGCACATATGAGGTTCTGACAAAGAAAACTGACACTAAACTTTCTGTGATTATCTCTTTTATTTGTGGAAAGCATGTTAATAACATGACAGAGGGGAAGATATGGACAAATGTCACATTTGGGCTCATCAGTTTACATCTGCTAATACTCCTTTATTTTATTATTTTTAGTTTCACAGCTCCATGTCCGCCTAAATATTTTTTTTTGTCAATGATACATTGTATTTTTCTAAAGTATGTTATCTTCTTCTTTTACCAGACTTAGAAATCACTTTTTTGTCACAGAACCATCACATTAACCACAGTTTTACTGTCAGGGTAAAAAAAAAGGTTGCATATCAAACAACATACTGCACAAGCTTGTGTAAGAGGAGCAAAGAGGAAAACATCCTGTCAAAATAAAACCCCAACTGACACTCAGTCAAATGTACATTTTCACAATTAACCACATGCCCACCAAAATGCATTGTCTTTATGATACAATGGCATGTGTTTTAAAAACATTAAAAGTTAAGTGTGTGGTACATTTTAAATGTAAAGCAGTTTCCTTGCAGTTTGAATAAGATCTACTGAATACACACCTAGTCTATATTTTAACAATATGTTCACTCAAGTATTTGTGGCATTACATTAGTTTACAAGATTTATCACATTATTTTGACTCCATCACAAACATGAGTCAGTGTGTTTGCCCTCATCGTGCTGTACGTATGTTCTTGTACTGGCACAGGAGCAGGTGCTTGAAGGTGTTTTTGAAAGTGACGTTGCAGAGGGCGTAGCAGGCCGGGTTGATGGTGCTGTTGATGTAGCAGAGCCAGTAGCCGATGGTCCAGAGGGAGTTTGGGATGCAGATGGAA